ATACTCCTAGCCAATTTGGGTTGCATTCCTCACTCATTTACCATCTTTATCTTCTAAGGTGCTGTCCACTTGTCAGACCTGGACCCTATGTACAAGCTTCTACTACACACCCACTACCCTCTTGGCCTCCACCTTTTACTTCAGCTGGGTAGATGGACCTCTTCAGAAGAGTGAACTCTCCTGCACAACAAATCACATGCATTGTTGAATAATATTTTGTCTCGCATGCGCCTATATACGAGAGGCGCGCGCAAGTGCGCGGAAATTATTACGTCACCCGGCCTAGCTGGGGCCTGGCGGGGGACCCAGAGCGCGCGCGCGTCATTACTATATAATACGCAGCGGCCCCCCTCGCTCTGCTGCGCGAAAAGGGTGGGGCCGGTGGGCCTTAGCATGCGCTAAAAAAATAAGTGGAACAAGTGGAAAAATCATTTCTTCAAAATGAAGGGGGATGTAGGGATGGCGTAAATTATGAAAAAGGATGCCAACAAGAAGATGCTTTAGCCGACAACAAAAATCATACATCCATCCCTACATCTTTCTTTACTCACACATCCTCTACTGTGATCATTATTATGTTGTGAATTATGTATAATTATATCTTACATAGCTACTTCATGACAGGTAACCACACATTTTAAGGGCGTCTACCGACGCTCTGATACAGAGCAAACGAAAGAAAGATGTAGGGATGGATGTATGATTTTTGTTGTCGGCTAAAGCATCTTCTTGTTGGCATCCTTTTCATAATTTACGCCATCCCTACATCCCCCTTCATTTGAAATGAAAGAAATGTACGAGGATCACGTGAGATATGACAGTTGAGCGTCTACCGACGCTCTCAAAGTAACATGTCGAACGATGCTCAGTACGCCGCCAGATGGAGCAGATATGTGCGTATTACTAGGGCTAGACAGTAGTTTTGTATGCGTCCTTGCCGACATACACTGACCCATTGCGGCATCAGTATGGCTGACAAAGAAAGTTCCTTGAAAAGCCTGGATAGGATCAGAGGGAAGAAGTAAAAAAGGGAGAAAGTCTTGTCGCTATTGGTTGCACGAATTTCGACAATGGAATGTCGCATGAACGCAAGACGACAACATTCTAGCTACATGCTATTTCACCCTGTCACTGCCCTTCATGCATAATCTTTATCCACATCAATTTTATTCTAAGTAGCTAACAACCTCCGAAGAGAGGGGAGAAATACTGTGCAGAGTCAACAAGACTAATACACTCATAGAAAAAAGTATAACAAAGAATAGAGATTGTGGCATGTTTAGTTTGTTCTATGGAGTGATGGCTTGTTTCTTTCTTGTTCCCCCTTCAGTCTGCTGTTGGCAAACGCACGCGGCTCGATCATACTTCATTGCTAGCTATGCACAATATAGAACGTACGAAGCGTGTGTTGGTCTAGCCAAGTCCGTCTGGTTTGTGCATGCGCGTATATTATATACTAGCTCAAATCAGTCGGACCAATATGCGGACGCTTATTTTACACGAACGAAAAAGGTAGAGAAGAACTCTGTTTTTAGATGCAGCTGTGCCTTCTTCTGCTGCCGGGAGCAAGCGTGGAATCCCTACGAAAAGCGTAACTTTTTGCGTCAGTCTGAGCATTCGAGACAGTGCTGACCTCGCAATTCAAAAATTGCACAGCTCAATTTATTCACTAGTTTATGCAACTTCACAAACATCACACAGCCATCTTTCAGGAAGCTTATTCTTTTTGAGTTTCACACAGGACATGTGATACCAGTCTTCACATCCATCATACAGCACACCATAATTCTCATTATAGTCCTCCGTCATCCGGCAGTATATTTTAATATTGCGAACCATAGGAGACGGTCTTGGTAATGATCCAAGGTACGTACTTCTGGAAAGGGTTCTAGAACTCCTTGTGACAAGCATTCGTACAGATGTGGGTCTCATCTTGGTCTGATCAAATACAGAATAATGATTGCGTATTCCTTCCGAGGCAAACCTCTACAGCATACGCAACTGCAAATACCCGCAGTCTTTTCGACCCTTCTGCTGCTGCACTGACACGCTTTATTTCCAAGGTTGAATCTTGAACCCTATAAATCTTGGAGATTTGTAGGATTGTGGAATTGTTGACTGAGAAAGAGGGACATACTGTCCATCACCATGACGACCAAAGACCCTTTTGACAAACACTTGCACACTTGAACAGTTCTGGTCTACCGACTTAAACTTCAGATTGCAGCCCAATATGGATCTTGGAAACTAGCTAGCTACGTGCTGAAACTGCACACTCAGAAATGATTGGGGAGCATTAATAGATTGTCAGTGAGCTCTTCGTCACCCAGTAGTCTTTTTTATCATCTTGATATAATTTAAGAGCTATAATCCACCAGTGCACATCCAGATCAGGATCATTCTCTGATACAGAGAAAATCATCATCATTTAAAAAATGAGAGTCCTTGCTCATAATGGCTTCTCTTGATCCTGCAAAATTTATAACAAAAAATGTGATTACGATTTTTATGCACTTATGTACTTTCCCAAATAAAGAACATCATACAGGTATAGCAAAAGACTCACGTTTCTTTGAACCTACATTCCCAGATGCTTCTGTGTCGTGACTGGACTCTCAGTGCTTCAGTGACGTATCCCCAGCTCCCCTCCGTGCACTGTGGCTACATCCAGTAATAGGTTTAAATTCTGGAAAGCCTACATACATGAGCACAATACACATCACACTTACATGTTTTGCTCTTGTCATTGAGTTTTCAATCTTCCTTTTCTCTCTGATTCTTTTTCTCTCCTCTTTTATCAATGCCGTCGCTTGCTTTTCTCTCTCACGCTCTTGCATCTGTTGTATATTCTCAAGACTTGTCAAAAACTTTACCAGCTGATTTTCCTTGTTTGGTAGGAAGACTACTTGGTGGATCAGGTTGAACAAAGAATTTGCTAATGGTAGTAGCACAGGGCAGAGGATGTGGAGCAAATATAGACTCGTCCAAGTAGCTAGGTTCTGATCTCGAGCGTGCAAGAGGGGAAGCCAAGGAAACTGGACTTCAATAAGAGGGTGGTATGCATCTCTTCCTTTCCGGTGTAGAGTGAATCGGTATACTGCGCCTATTTAGCTCCAGCTGAGATTGTGAAGGGAATGTATGCCAGGTTGGTTTTCTCAGGAAGGTTGGATGGCTTAAATACAGAAAAAACTCTGGTCATCTTCAGGTAAACAAATAATGTTTCTGTTGAATGGACAGATACCTGTTGCTTCAAAGCTACTGATAATGTTTGGCATGCTGAATACCCTGAACCATGCTTTTGCGAAAAGCTCACAAAAATAAAAACGTGACACGGTTCTTCCTGGATTACGTGCACAGAACTTGTGGCATGTATCCCTCCACGCCACTTTTAGAGGTGCAAAACACCCTCTATCTAAAGGCTGGGTTATGTGCGTAGTGTGTGGTGGTAAAGCACATAGTCCTATCTGCTGCTTAGCAGCCATGGCAATTGTCTCCGGACAATAGTGGGCTGAATGCCCATCCAGCATGAGAATTATTGGTCTGGCACTGGGAATTGAGAGAACAAAATGATTGAACCACTGTCGAAAGATTTCCCTGGTTATCCCACCCATTATGAGATAGACTGTAGACTGTGCCAGGTACTTCCCCCTTTGTCATAGCTTCATTTAGGGACAATCGATCAAATATTATTAGTGGAGGTACTGCATACCCAGAAGCACATGTGCATGCCATGACTGTAATTTGTGACTTGCAACCACTGCTTAAAAACTGGGGTTCTTAGAGCCAACCTTGTCAACCACTTTGAGACTCTTTGGGTTTGGTGGTACCCCAGTTTCGTCACAATTGAAAATGCGTGCTGGTTTGTCTAGTATTCCATTGGATCATAGGCAGTTTTCAAGCATATTGAAGTATATACCAATCCAGTACATCTCGGTAAGCCATTGCTCGTGCCATTGACAGTGGAACAGCCACACGTAACGCTATCTGAGCGGGGTATGTGTTATAACTGTGATATCTTTTAATTTTACTATTCTCCTCTCATTATGCTATACTACGACATACTTGTTGGCACCCCCTGATAAAATATCATGGAATTAGGTATTTTTGGTTAATCATACCCTGGTTCGCTCCTACATACTAAGTGCAGGGTTCCTATGTTGTTTTGTAAATGTAGTTTAACGTGTGTAGTTAATGGCAGGAGTTGGACTTCGGTGCGCATGTGTACTTAGGCCCCCTTCGCTGACTTCAGTGAATGCGACTAGTTATGTAATGACTTCCCCTGACTGATGAGCTGCTCTTGTAGCTCACTGGTAGAGCACTCCGTTAACAGAACATATAATGTAATGGGTTAAGTCCCACCTCTATATACCCTGCACGCATATGCACAGCAGGGGTAATGCAATTGGTGCATGCATGTACATATGTCAAAAAATTCCAAATGGCACCTTAGTGGCCAAATTAGCTACCACTTTAAACTTGCGTAGCAGAACTGTTCTGAATGTCTACAACCAAGTTAGCTATATAAGGACTAGTCGTTTTGCCGTGTGATGCAGAACATCACTCTACAAAGGATACTTGGTTTACTCTACCTTGTACTAATACTATTACATCTGAGGAAGGGACACTTTCAATGTTCCAAAGGGTTCCTTTAGCTGCAGGTTCCACTGTCATACACATGTAGAACCTCCACAAATGCAATTTCAATGTAAGTGTACTGTCCTTTCAATGCTTATATACACAGGCGTAGTAGTTGTAGAGAGAAAGAGAAATAAACCAACTTCTGCCAGGAGTCTAACTCAGGCCCAGTGTGCTGGCTAGCAGGCTACCTATGACTACTCCTAATTGAAAGTTGGTCCTTGGGTTCTTATAATTATGGCATGTGACAGGGTGGGTGCTTACATGAGGTTGCCATAGGCAATGGCCCTGGCAGTCTTAGAGTACGTAGAGGGAAAGGGGAGGACAAGCTTAAGCTCCTCCAAGATAGCTCCTTCTTTCTGTCTCCACACATCCTCAGCTGCCTATCTAACAGAAAACTCCAACCAGCAGCATTGATTCCGCATATGACACATACTTCGCATAAACAATATGCATTATTGAGCTGTGCTTGACAAGCAAAATACAACAAATTTCACCAATTACAGTACGCTTAATTAATGGGGGAATACACAGCTCTCTCTATAGTATACAGTTTGCAGTTATTCATTCAGTATAGTCCCGTTAACGAATTTCGATATATCCCATGTTTGAAACAATCTCGGTGGTCCGGCCGTGGTCTGGTGTCCTGGTTACAGTCATCTCAAACCTTCCACGGTCTCCACTTGTTACGGTCCCTCCGACTGACATCGAAACAGAATCGCTTCTGGCACGAGTCAAAGAGGAGTTTGTAGAGTCCGCGTCCTTCTTCATCGATGCCATCGCCCTGACTGAGCTCTTGGGTTGTATCAACTTCAAACACATCTGTGAAGGAGATTGGAAGCGCTCACGTGTGAATTGCGCAACTCGCTCTCTCCTTTTGTGTGTGTCAATTAAGAGACCTCAGAGGATCAACATTGGAAGGGCTCACGTGAATGGGATGAATGCCGCAATATTCAAAGTAGAGGGGGTGAAGAATGCGGGGTCAAGTGGGTCAACTTCAAAGATTTCAAAGCCCCCTCAGAACTTATTCCCATTATGCATACTAGTATTGAAAAGCACTAAAGTGCAAACCCTCCGCACATGCACTGGCACTTACAATATATTACAGCCAAGACGCAACAAAAGTTAAAGAATCAACTTTCAAAGCCCCCTCAGCACTTAGCTATATACTAGGATGTTGTAATTATAGTGAACCTGCACTGATTGTTATATTGAAGAAGATGTCGAAGGGGAAAGTGATGGGGCAACTTATTGCTGGCCTTGATACGTAGAGACACACTTCCACTGTTTCAGCAGTAGAGCTCATAGTGTAGACAGTCCTCTCCAGACCTACTCCAGCAACTACAAAAAGAGCAAGAGGCGGACAAGGAATGAAGATTAAGAGCAGTATACAATAGAAGAAAACAAACTGTGTGTAACATGAGCATACCGTCGTCATCCATTATCTCAATGATTCCATAATTCTGAGTGTTGCTGATCTGAATGGCTGAATGATCGTCCTTCAGTTCGATCTCCACATAGAGCGACTCGGGCAACTCCACTCCAGGAAAGTCCACCACTACCAGCTGAGCACACGCCTCGTTCCGGACAGGATCATATCTCACATCTACCTGTGTCGTACTAAAGTCTTCAGGACGAGCTGCAGGAATAGAATGAGAGGCAACAGTGAACATCGTTTCTTCTACAGCCACTTACTTGCACTGTCTGGGGATAAATGTGAACCGTATATAAAAGGGGAAGGCAATAGATTTAACTGGATGTCCACTGACGACAGCACAAACACTCGCTCTACCAACATTCTCCCGTACTATCTGGTAGAGAGACATGAGGCGGACCATCGCAACTAGACAGAACAAACAATGTTGATGATATTGCGAGTGGAATAGAAACCTCTTACTGTCATTGTCATAGATGGTGATGGTCGCTGTACTTCTGTCATAGTCGACAGAGTTCACACTCCGAGAAATCCTAACTAAAATGGTCTCATTCATTTCCACAACCTGGTCCTCTGTGATCTGTATCGTCATACACTGCCTGTTTCTGCATTTAGGTATTGTTAGGTATGACTCCAGACCAGAATAGTCTTCCCCCTTATCTGTTGGGAAACAGTCAGTCAACATGAACAAAGTAGAAAACAGCATAATATGCTATAATTATACCTGCAGTTCCTCTGATATCAAAAGTTATGTTGAAATCATATTCAACGCGACAGCCTGTGCTGGCAGACTCCACGACAGCACAGAGTTCGACAGATCTCCCCTCAGTATTCTCCGCAACTAGTGGATCCAGTCTCACGGTTGCCCCTGCAATTACCAGCAGATTGTGTGAAGCAAGACCAGATAACAATGTGTAACATCATACTGTCATTATCGTTGATAAAAATAGTTGTAGATGTTTGTCTAAGCTGAACTCTATCGTCCAGGTCTGCAGTCCTTCCCAAAGTGACATTGAAGTACTCTCTCTCTTCTACAATATTGTCATCCGTGATGTTGAAATAGACACATTGTCGGGAACTTCTTGGCTCGAATGTCACACTATGAGACTCGCTGTCAAAATCTGACGGTGTGCCAGTGCCTGAGGAGAGGAATAAGATAAGTTTGTATGTAGGTGGACCTTTAGATTAAACGTGGTATTTAGAGCTAGTTACCTGCAGTGCCGGAGACCGTGGCTAGAAGGACTGTGCTGTTGATGTCACTTGTTCCACTCATCGTGGCACACACCTGTACCCTACCACTTGACTCTCTCACAGTGTATGCACTATACTGCAAACCAATGGTCACATCTGGTGAGAGAAATATCATTTCATCACTGAGTAACTAGAACTACATGCACCCACCATCATCATCAGTAATCCGGACAGTGCTGGTCCCTAGCACTGACTCTAACTCTGGTGTCAGTATTTGCACTTTGCAGAGAGACAGTAAACTCTTCCTCTGCCTTCTCCATGATGGAGTCGTCACGAATACTTATTGTTCCACAGGCTTCCATAGCGCATCTTGCGAAGTATCACTGTTATTGATGATCCATAATCTGAAGGTCCTACAGTGAGAAAATAAATACAGAGTTACTAGTACGTTAAATAAGTGGTGGAAGATGGAAGTCTTGCTGTAAAATAAGATTACCTGCAGTTCCAGCAATTGGAACCAATCTGACACTGAAGGAAAAGTCTAGTTCACAGTCTGCACTGACTGGGAAAGGACTTCGCACTTGAGCACAGATTGTCACTCGTCTATCGGCTTCGTTAACTCTGTAGTTTGAGTTTTGGATGGTGACTCTGGCAGCTGCATTGTGTGGAGCACAGTAATTAGAATACCTCACGAACTAATTAAAAAAGCACGTGCTACTCACAGTCATCGTCCTCGATGACAACCTCAGAACGTGTCTGAGTTAAACTGATTCTGGAATCCCATTCGATGCCTCTGGTGATTGACACATACAAGTTTTCATCCCCTTCTATTAGCTCATCATTAACGGTTTCGATGTTGACACAGATTTGAGAGGTACAGGGAGGGACACGTGCCATAACCGCACTCAGAGCTGCATAGTCTTCAGGTGAATCAGCTGAAAAGAAGAAGGTTGTGATTCGAAACAAGAAGATTGCTTATCGAGTAACGTCCACACCTCCTCTATTCTTACCTGAGCCGTCCCTGCTGTTGAATATAACATTGATAGAGAACGGCACAACACAGTCTCCACTTTCTTCTAACAACCCCACACACACAGTCTCTGTCAGTGTTTGGCCTTCCTCTACCCTGTACTGAGCTTGAGTCAGACCAAACCTAGCCGCTGTAGATGGGACTCAGTTAGTCAAGTGACAACACATTAATCTCTCCAACTTACTATCATCGTCTCTGATGGTAACATTTGTCTTGTTCCGGGAGCCTATTTTGATGAGAGGATCAAGCTGCTCAGTCCTCATGAGACTGATGTAAAAATCTCCTCTTCCTCCACCTTTTGGTGTCCACAATACCAACGGAGAAACACTGCCTTCGGTGACATGCTTCAATTATTAGATCACCCGTCGCGTCCTGGGATACATAGTCCATCTTCATCTGTGTACAGAAAGTTGTAGGAAATTTTATTAAAGAGCACAAAGTGTTTATCAGCACATCACAACAGATACATTCTTAGTTGACCTGGTATATATATGGAAAAATACATAGGTCAGGAGGGAGAGAGAAAGAACAAACTTTTGTTAGGAGTCAAACTCAGGTGACTGGAAGTCCAGTACACTAGGCACACTGAGCTACAACTCCCAGACAAAAGCTGGTCTTCCCCATTCCCTCCAAGTACAGACACATAATTGCGTAACTAACTGAAATGAGGACTTATAATATCTTACTTGCACTTCCTGCTATGTTTCCGAGTAATAGTGAGAAGTCATAGCCCACAGGACAGTAGGAATGTCGACTGGTGATAGCCACACACACTAGCACTTGCCCAGCATTCTCTCTACACTGTACGCCGTACTTTCAAACTCCACTGTAGCAACTGCAGAGCATCAAAAACAACAGATTCCTCAGCCTCTTTCCTCTCTTTCTATCTATCTCTTTCCATTGGATCAGCCATAAAATACTTTATACTGAGGCAAGGAATGCTAACTCAGTCGGCATGGAAGTGTGGATGTATATGCATGTATGCAAGTCAGTGAGCACAACAGTTTAGTCTGAGCAAAACTGTGTTGCAGAAGCTATACCTAGCTAAGGCAGGCAGTGCTAAGCCATAGCTTCATGCCATGCCATGTGCATCACTTATATCAGCAAGACGACCTTGGGTGAATATGTGAACATGCTCACTCTCCCTCTCCCTCTCTTACTGTCAGCATCAATGATGGACACCACTGCCACATTGTCTTCTAATCTGATCCTGGGGTCCAGACTAGAGGTCCTATTGACAGTGACAGTAAACGTCTCTTTGTCTTCTTGGGTGTCGTCATTGGTGACGGGTATGTTGTAACACTCTCTCGTCTCACGAACAGAAAAATAGAATGATCTTCTTTGAGCACTGAAATCAGCTCTTACATTTCCCCGGGTTATGCTGACTATTGGGAAAAACACACCAAAGAAAGTACAAACCGCATGATGTCTGGATGATAGCTAGTTACCAGCAGTGCCGTCAATAGTGTTGAGTAGAACGGAGAAGGAGAAATCGATTGGAGTATCTATAACTGGGCTGTCAACTTCAACACAGACTGTAACAGTTCTATTCTCCTCTTGGACACTGTATGCTGTTTTGTCCAGCTTTAATACCGCCTCTGGAGTAATGGTGCACGGACACGGTCATGAGCACACACAATCCCTCCTACATTTTAATACTTATATACCATCTGTGGGGTCATCAATGACTGTGAGTGTTCCTGATGCAGTGTTGACGATGATCCTTCTGTCAAGGTCATCTGTTCTCTCCAGTCGATATGTATATCTTTTTGTCAGCTCAAGTTGTTCATCATCGTCAATTGGAACGGACACGCATGCATTGAAAGAACACCGCCTAAATGCCATTGGAAAGTCCTCTGTGATTGGGAAACAAATCATTCGATAAAACTCAGTGTAATGACAGACAACTTACCCCCATCAACTGATAGATATATCTCAAAGTCAAAGACAACTGGACAGGAGCTCCGGTCTGGTGTGGGGTCGTAAACCTCTGCACATATTCTGACTGTCGCATCCACTCCTTCTATCACAGTAAATGCCCTTTGCTCAAGTCGGATATAAGCCCCTGCATAGGAAATTGGGTCACATAATGACAGAGAACTATAACAATGCGAGAAAACGAGGCAAAATGTGACAAAAAAGCTGTCACAAAGTAGTGAACAAGAACCACTATTATTTAGTACAATATGCATTTATTTTCATGCACACAAACAGGTATAGCTCAGGTGGGGAATTAGTGCTATCTCACTTTCTGAATCATCATGGATGATGACTTCAGCAGTGTAGGGATCAGGTCTGACAAGAGGGAAATTGCTGGTTAGGAAGAGGTCAAATGACTCCACTTCCTCAACCTCAACGTCATTGCGATCGTTGACAAAGGTAATATTACGGGGAGCACATGCGCTTCTCCTACAATGGGAAAACTCTATTGTTTGTATTCTGTAAGCCACATAGTCGGAGTTGTTGGCTGGAGAGGTGATAGTATGCAAGATGAGACAGGGAGCAAAAAGGTACAGTAGTCATTACAGGCAGTGCCATCGTAAACGTATAAGGTCAGGGAGAAGGGAGTGGTGACTGGACAGGACACTGCAGGGCTGACCACTCTTGCACAGATTGTTAAACTACCACTTGTTTCCTGGACACTGTACTCCGTTCTATCAAAAGTGACAATCGTCACTGGAAAGACAAGACAGAGAAAGTTGAATGAAAGCGTAAAAGTGAAGTATATTATGCATACGTACTATCTTCGTCTTCAATGGTAACAGTAGCCACTGTAGGGCCTAGAATGATATCATCTGTGCCTCCTCTAAGCGGGTGTTGTAGGGTGAGTGTGAAGGTTTCAGTGTCTTCAATGAGGTTATTATCGATTATATCTACCGTCAGACATTGCCTCTTAGCACATGAACCAAACCTCAGAGTAGGCCCTTGGACCCTATAATCACTTCCTTGGACTAGATGGAGAGAGAAAGAGAGAGAGAGACGTATACTAGAACATACTCTAGTTTAAGAGTGTACATGCTGTGGCCGGAGTTGCGACAAACAGCAGCTCAAATGGGATGAAAATGGGACAGCCAACGAGAGGAGCATTCACCACCACACACACATTGAGTTTCAACTCATTTTCCATCACAGTATATGTCGTATTCTCCAGTCCCACAGTGGCCTCTGCAATGGAAACAAACTGTTGTGATGAATGTTGATGCATCACCACCATGGCCAAAGACTATCAATAGTAACAGTGTCTGATAAATTGACTGGCTAGTAGTTGCGTCTACTCACCATCATCGTTAACTATCGTGATCTCCACTGATGAAGTGCCCAGTGCAATGTGACTGTGAGGGTGGGTGATGTTTATTCTTGCTTTGAACGACTCTGTCTGCTCCAGCATGTCGTCATCATTGATGGTAACACTGGTGCAAACCATGTTTTGGAATGCCTGGAATGTCATCTGAAGGCCGTCTACAGCCACAAAGTCTTCCCCAACTGAAAAAAACCACTCCATAATAATAATAATACTCAGGTGGCTGCCATAGCACTAGGCCATAGACCACGCACACAGAGCAATGGGCGGAACCGTAACAACGAACATACACCATATGAATATGAGGTGTCTGTCTCACCTCCCAGACACCTCAACTCACCTCACACTCCATAAACTAATTGAAACTGAGAATCATAATGTACCTCACCTGCGCTGTCGAATACTGTAAAGAATGTAATGTCGAAATCTCTATCTCGACTGCAGGGCCTTCTCTTTTCATCATCTTGAATGATGACACATATATTCACTGTTCCTGCACCCTCAGGCACAATCCTTGGCCCATCCAGGCTCACAGAGATAGCTAGATGGAAGTGTATCATTATCATCGTAACTACTAGGGACCACGGCTGTGGAATAACAGACTCACTTTGTCATCTGTGGATCTTCACTTGCTCGCTCCACCGTCCCCGCCACACGCACCCTGCTTCTCTCCTGTCTTCAGGCTCAACGTTATCGATATTTTTAGTTCAAGTTTGAAAAATTCCAGTTCCTCCAAAACGTAGTCATCCAGGATGGGTACATCGATACATTGCTCTTCGCTATCAGCTCTAAATTGCAGAGTTGCATTTGTGGCAGTGTAGTCCTCATTGACCACTGCAAAAGAACATATACCTGACTCTTATTGCATGCTTTGCAACTAAAAGTGGGGATAATGGTCAACCCCACTCTCTCTCGCCACACCCAAATAGAAATTAGAAACAGTATTACCTGCAGCGGACCCTTCCTCTGTAGTTGTAAAATTGACAGAGAAGTCAAAGTCCACTGGTGGCACAACCATAACACAGACTCTAACTTTGCCACTGTCAACTCCTTCATCGACGATGTAGAATTCCTCGGTGAACGAAACCATGGCAACTACAGAACAAAGTCAACAAAGACACTGTTATAGTGAAAAACCATTCAAGGTGATGAAAAGGGCAACCTAAGCACAGAGCCATTTACCATGTATTATACGGAGACACACAAACACAAAGATGCGCTGAAGTCTATATTAATAAAGACCATAAAACTTCTCCCACGCCTCCCTCTTCTTGCAATCTTGATAATTGGAGTCAGCCATAACATGATACCAAGCAGAGCCAGATTAGTGTAACAAAACAAATTCCCATCATCCAATTAAGTTTTCTTTCTTCACTAGATAGTCTTGGGATAGCATCATTAATGTTACAAAATAGCAATCTGATGAAATTGTCAGTGACAGGTTATTTGCTAGGCTGTAGTGCTAATCCCAGGAAGTTCAGTACTCAGCAAAACCTACCATCTTCATCAATGATGGCGACTGTTGCAGTATCCTGCTGAAATGTAACAGCTGTGACTTCCCCACCGCTAAACTCCAACGTCACATCGAACTGTTCAATTGTATCCTCTACTTCATTGTCGTTCTTGATTTCGATTGTGAAGCAGTTCTCTCGAGCACAAGCATCATATCGGAATGGGTTGTCCTCATCGTAGACTGGGTCTACATAGTCTTCACCTTCAGCTACAAACGAGAGAGAGGGTACATTGTAATGTGTCCCAGTAGCTGTTTATACATACTTGCAGTTATATCTGTGACTGTAACAATGAACTCAAGTGGATACACCACAGGGCATTCATTGGTATCTGGACCCTTGACCTCCACACAAATCTCAACTTCGCCATTGTCTTCCTCTCTGACTGTATAGGCCAACATCACAAAGCCCAGCTCAGCCACTGAAAATGAAATTAATATATCAGGTATATAAAGGTTTTTCTGTATAAACCACAATTTTTGAGTTTGCTAGCTGAATTAGGATTCACACATCAGCTGGAAACATGGCTATTAGCTAATGCTGTGGTTCCGTCCACTAAACAATATTATCATAGCTGCTCATATAGAGCATTCCCTGAAGCAAAAGTTACTATGATAGAGAGCTTTTGCAAGTAAAGGGAGAAGGCCATGCCAAGGACAGCGTGGTAATGTAATACATGCATGGGTTTGCTCCAGCAGTGACCCTGCACTTACATACATATGTGTAGACCTGCGTAGGGTTTTTAGCAAATGTGCTACTAGTAATCTCTAAGACCCGTGTGTGAAGGCTATACTCCTCCTTAAAGTCAGAAAGTGGCAAAAATGCTCAAACGAGCTTTGGAAGGGGCTTACCATCATCATCAACGATGATCACCTCGGCCTCATTACGAGTCAGGTTTACCCCATCAGGCGTATTTTCTACTAGTTGGAGAGTCACGTGGAACGATTCTTCGAGATGCTCCACCTCAATATTTTCAATGATGTTGATGGGCATGCACACTGCCTTGTTGACGGACGAAGAGAAGATCAAATTTGTTTCAGTGCTCACGTAATCTGCACTTAGCCCTGTAGCTTCTGAATAGAGAATGTTAGATTTAAAACATTGTGGTACATGATGAAAGTGGTGCACGTACCTGCGCTATCAGAACGAGTGTAAATACGCACTGGGAAGTCTATTGACGGTTTACAGCCAGCTGGTCTTATAACAGCACAAACTTCAATCTGACTTGCATTCTCGAAAACTTTATATTCGGCGTGCTCCATCTCAATGAAAGTGTCTGAATAAAGGGGCATTAAACTCAATTTTCTACTATTGGACGATTTCTTACTGTCATTGTCTTCAATAGTGACTGTGAGACTATCGTTTATAATGATCCTATCTGTAAGGAACACTTCTGGTTCCAAAGAAATAGTGAAATTTTCATCTCTTTCCAGACTGCAGTCATCTATTATGGGTACAGCTACACACTCCCGAGCATCACAGGGTCTGAATGTCACGTCAACTCTGCTTTTATCATAGTCAGCGGCATCTGGATAAAAAGATAAAGGACACTTTGTTCTGCCTCTAAAAATGGACACATCTGAGTAAAGGGCACTATAAATTCCCCCAAAGTTCCCCTTGTGCAATGGATGGCTGTGTGGTTGGTGAAAATACAATGGAACGGAATCCCTCTTTAAGGACACCCTCAAAATGAGGACACCGCCCTTAAGGACACTTTCTAAGGATACCCTCAAAATGAGGACACCTCTCTAAGGACACCCCTGAAATTAGGATCCCCTTCTTATAAGACCATATTTTCTTTCCCCAAGAACAGGTCTTGCACGTGATTTAACCCCTGAAATACACAAAACACCCCGTCTTAAATGATAACAAACCTGTAGTGACATCTTCTTTAACGATGGAGACAGTGAACTGGAAAGTTACCGGACAAGACCGTCTGGGTCCTGGCGTCCTCACATTGAGACATACTCTGAGTAACCGCGCATTCTCCCGCACAATTGTAAGGGCCGATATATCCACAACAGCCACTGGATCGAAAGAATCACTTAGGTTAGTTGAAGTATTATCCTTTTTTATTACGTGAGGAATTTTTTCACGTTTTACTACTCCAGAAACATACGCCCAAGAAACTTGCACCTAGCATAGAAATGTGTGGAGAAGTGTGCAGCCAGTTTTCTACTGCCTAAAGAGGATCATAGCGCTAATGGTAAGAAGCTAGGAGAGAAAGGCTACAAACTGCACAGCTGCTATATGTTAAGCTTTTGAATTATCTGTATATTTCTTTTGCATTTCTGCATACTGCACCTGTAAACCAACGAGAGACAGAAACGGTTGTTTATCTACCGGCTGTTTCTCCCACGGCAACAGAGTGAAACTTGGTAGGTACTCATTAAGAAGAAGATGATGAACAAAACTCTCTATCATAGCCCCATACATCTATAGTGCTAGGTACCATGCTCATCCCTATATAGTACTACCGTACTTAGTGATAGATGCCAGTTCACTATAGTACTCAGCCTATAGTACTCAACATGTAGCCAGACAACTCACTTCTCAATAGGAACTACACAACTTACTATCATTGTCAAATATTTCGTATCGTTGAGTGGGTGTAGGGATATTGATTCTCTCATTCAAATCCCCATTGGAACCATGTGTCAAAGTTACATAGAAATATTCATGGTTCTCCACCAATAAATTATTATCAATCGTTGAAATGTTATAGCAGAAGTTCTTTGCACAAACAGGTATTGTGAGTCTTCTTGTTTGTCGGACGTAGTCCCCTCTGTAAGCTATTGAGAAAAGATGGAGTGAATCACACCACACATCCCAATGTGTGCACTTACTTGCAGTTCCATCCTCAGTCCGAAGCTGAACTTGTATTTCAACCAATGAAGGACATTCGCTCCTGGGGCTTCCCTCAACCAACAGACAAACTTGTATTGGAAAGCCCTCCACCGCTATTGCCGGATCATTAAAAATAATACTGATGTCTGGAGCAAAAAACAGTTGCGTGAGTTACAAAACCAGAAAGAAAACCAGTGTCTTACTGTCATTATCTTCTATAGTGACTCTCTTCTCCACAACATCAAGCAGAATCCGTCCGTCGTGGTTGGGAAGCTTCAGCAGGGAAATGTAGAATGTTTCGTCAAGTTCCAGGGAACTGTCGTCATACACTGTAATATTTGTACACTGCGACCGACTACACTCTCCAATTGTGATGTCAGTCACATTGGCATCGTGGTCCCCTGATGTTGTAGTGGCAGCTGTGTAAACAGAAAGAGTGTGTCGCTAGCACTGCAGAAAAGTTACACAAGAGTCCGTCCTTACCCCTTGCTTCAAGTCTGAGGTCGAATGGAAACTCCACAGGGCAGTCTCGTTTCACGTCACGGAGAACCACACACACTCTGAGTGTTACAGCTTCATCAACCTTGCAGGAAGCTCCCTCTAGACCAAATGTTGCAACTGAAGAGAAAAGGAATGCAATTCTCCTCAGGATTATGCATAACTCCTTGGAGACAGTACTACATTAGGGAGGCCGATCAAGAAAGAATCTCCTCTGAGTGGGACTGGAACCTATGACAACAAAAACCAAGGAAAGGGCAATTCCAGGAAACCACTTTTTCCCAAATGCTGCCCTGGGTGGGATGTGAACCTACATCTCCAGACAGAGGACTTGAAACTACAAACCACAATACAAAGGTAAACAAAACGTTTCGGTGGAGGAACCGACATCTGTCACATACCGTCGTTATCTCTTATGACGACTGTTACAGGTGTCCTGACGGGCTTGATTCGTTGCGCCATGCCTGGTGTGTTTTGCAAGATGACATTAAAGGTCTCCTCCCTGTAACAGTCCACTATGTCGTCGTCAATGATTCTTATCCTCACGGATTCTACAAGATCTCTACTGAACTGAATATTTCTGCTGATATGTTCGTAGTCTTTGTTAATCGCTGTAGAGGGAAACAAGACTCTTTTAAACATCACACTATAAGAACAAACAGTATTTTGTACTGGCAGTTCCTGCTTCGGTGTACACAGCAACAGTAAAGTCAAATAGGACACGGCAAGTGATTGAGCCAAATTCATCAGTGACGGCCAAGAACAACCTCGCATAACCATCACCCTCATTTACGGGCACATCTCTCCTGCCTCCCATGATTCTCACATAAGCCACTGTTGAAGAGGATAAAGTAACTGGGATATAGGGCAGGGGTTATAATTCACCATCACTGTCATGGATTCCAACGCTTGCTGCCGATGGCTCTATCTTTATGCCGTCAAATGCATCCCTTCGCAGCATAACTGTGAAATTCTTTACTAGCTCCACGACACAGCCATCTTCTATAGTGCTTATATTGATGCATGACCTCGTCTGACATGGTGCGAAGTATAGTTTCTCATTGAGAGGCTCATAGTCCTCACCAGGTACTAGACAGAAAGAGTGAGAGAGAAAGAAAGTTGACTATATCTCTTTGGACCAAAGCAACACAACTACGAATCATAACAGGGGAAAACAGGTTTTGGTGGTAAAGATTGAATCAAGGACCTCACTTTACAAAATATATCACGTACAAACTGCATCACTTAGGTACAGAGGGCAGACACTTTCCTAATGAGGTACAGTTTGTATAACATTAAAACCTGCATTAATAGAGCAAGGAGAGATCGTGAGACTGAATCCAATAGTTGATAGACACGAGGGATATTTGGAGATGTCACTCTGACATACTTCAATAGCTTCTCCTCGTTGACTTTGTAGACATTTCCTCCAGGCCTACAGTAGCATATGTGGCAGTAAAAAACACATAAGCACAGGGACTTGTGACAAATGAAGGAGAAACGATCGCTTGATGACCGTGCACACCTCCCGTGGAACTGGGTAGCTCATTTGAAAAAAATGAGCTGCAAATTGTATCGGTATAATAGGAGATAGACGCGTGGGATTGATGATGACGAAATCTACTTCTCGCATTGGAGAAACTGAGAGAGCAGGATATAGAAGTCTTGTAGCTAACAAGGGCCCGCTACTATGCTAGTGATTTATCGGAAAGCCAGGAGAATTCTCGCGCGGTTATTGGTTTGTACGCAGTCAGATCAGTGAGATTTGACCTATGCCATCCTATGTATAGAGGTCTACTGACGCTTTTATAACAAAAACCAGGTCAGGAAACAAACATGTCATCTTCAAATGGCACAGTAGTCAATAGGGACTTAGAATGATGCGATCAGCGAAGTCTTGAATTGGTGTTGTAGAGTGATGGTAAAGGTTTCAGTGTCTTCCATGAGGTCGTCATCAAAGATGTCTACTGTCAGCCATTCTCTTACTGCACGCACTAAAATCACAGCCCCTGTCATGAGTGTATAATCACGTCCTTGGACTTGTGAAAAAGGACAGCAAGGCGGATGAAATCATAAGTAGGTATGGCAGGTTTAAACAACATACATGCAGTGCCCGGATTTCAGCAAATATCAGCTCAAATGGAAGGCATAGGGCAGGCAGTGGTCGGAGAAGGGGAAAGAAACACCACACACAGACATAAGGTGCAAACTATCTTCCTTCACAGTATATGTCATATTGTCCAGTCCCACAGTAGCTTCTGCATAGAAAATTATATGTTTCAAATTTAATTTGGGGTAGTTTTGTAACAATAGTCACGTCTGACTGGAGGGATGGTGGCTAAATGGAAGTTTGCTAAGCATCCCCATACCGAATAACTCCATAGCGCTCTCCCCTTTGTACTCGAGGACTCCTTTCGTACCTTGCACCTGCACCATTTATACTTTTTTACCTGAGATGTTGTACTACCTTTCAGTAATCTCAAAAATAGAAAATATCCTTTCTTTATAATATTATTCTGTTCGCCGCTGAACGTTTCTGCCAATCTTTGGATGTAAGTAATTAAGGGGAATATGTGCGAATACAGGAAACCAGTAGTCCCGAGCGATCCCTCGCTAAAAGTTAAAGTGTAATAGGCATCTTTTCAGCCATCTAGCTACCTGGTAAAGATTGGTAATTAGCTAGATGTGGCAAGGCTAATAATACAGGAAGGACTGGCAGTCTTATCTAAGCTAGTACGGATAATATACCCTACCTACAAACTTGTGCGCTTACGTAACGCATATGGTTCTTAATACACTGAGGGTATCAGCAGAGCTTTGTAAGACCATAGCAACTGAAATGCAATAATTCTTACCAAAACTGGGATTGTCTCTGATAGTGATCGATCCATTCCCAATTATAGATATCCTACTATCATCGCTTTCTAGTGTTATAGGTCTTGTAGAGGGATTCTCAAGGATATTGTTTTCTTCAACACGGAATATCCCACAACTTGGTTGGGGAAATGTAATACAGATTTTCACTTTTATCCCAACTAAAGAAAAGTAGAGAGCGATATATATAAAGATAGTTATAAACAATAAGTACTTAAACATACGGATTTTAAATCTGATGCAAATCTCTGTTTCCACAGCAACTAATGAAATGGCACATATTTCACAATCTGCTCCTTCGGTTAAAGAGTAGTGCTCCCTTTCCAACTGCACTAAGGCTTCTATTAAATGAAAACATGCAGAGACAACAATTTTAAACTCAGAAAATTTAAGCCCCGTACCATCAGTATCATTGATCCAGATGTCAACCTTGTCTTCTTTTACGATAACATCACCACCACTTCCAAAATCATAGACTAGACTAAGTGTGAACTGTTCCATATCTTCTACCCTCACATCATTAATAATGGCCACATCAAAACAGGCTTTCTCTTCAGAAGGGTCCAATTTGAGGATTGACTGTAGTGACCTGTAGTCTTGGCCTGCCACTGTAAAACAGATAATACTTGATGTACAAAGTTTATATTAGCCAAGTCAAGATAACCTGCTGTGACATCTGAAGTTGAGAGGGTAAGAGGGATGGGTAGCTCTGAATGATGCCCATGAGCTGTAACTAACACACACACTTCAGCTCTACCATCCTCCTCTTGCACAGTCAATGACCGTCTTTCAAATTCCACTGTTGGCACTAAAAAAAAGTAGAAGAAAGATAGGAAGCAAGGAGAGACCTACATTGACGAATTCAACATGCATCTTCATTCAATATTCTGTTGTTGTAAAAGTGACAAGTGTCACAATGAACAATCTGAGGGTAATGCATGGATGGCATGGCCGAACACAAACCCAATAAAAATGCATAATACAGATGCTATCAGTGCGCATTCCAATCGTGTAAGTGACAGTGCACACCTCTGTGAACTCCAACAGGTTTTATCAGTGCATTTCAAGTAATAAGTTAGAATCAATGGAAATTGCAGTTTACTTTAGTGTGGGTACATTTTTGCGCTGTGAAAAACTAAGTACTAACTACAACGATTTTATGTACGCTTACAAATGGCCTTCTCCTTGCTGAAAATGCAATATAGTCACATGACCCTCTATAAAGCGCCATTTATGCATAGTAGAGGTGGTTTTTGTGGTTCTTGTGGTTCAGATTGATGTGCACTTGAGACCCTCATGGATTCTTACCGAAAGTAGACAAAATAGTCATATTGTGCTTCACATCAATGAGCTCAATTCTGTTATCGTGATTGGCTGGAGGTTCCAGGTTGATACTGAGTTGATTGATGGCAGAGATATTCACAGGAACCAGAACACACTTTTGGATGGCACATTGTTCAACTGTCATGGTAATGTAGTCATCACCAGTTCCTAGCAAAGAAGATGATTATAACCCCCTTGTGAAATAGTATTTTACTGTCCACGGGTGTTAAACCTTATTCCCTACCCTGGTAATCTGCAAAATGTCAAAGCTGTTAATCCCACAACCAATAATTATGGCCTAAAAAGTGAATGAATAATTAACCCTCGGTGCACATGCTGCAGCGAGGGTTACAGTACTTGGTTTGTAAGTGTGTCTGTCTGCCTGTTCCATCTGTTATATACCACGTTTTCTGCGACTACGCGCAACGAGACAACAAAACAGCCATACCAATGGGTTGATCGCTACATTGGCTTCATATTTAAAAAAGGCGATGATTTTTGTATAACTACTGCGTTCAAAAGTCATGGCGTGAAAAAGCAAGTTAACAAGCCAATATGTAAATTAGCACAGGCTTACCTCGACCAGGTCCGCTTGCTCTGTGCATCTTGAACGCACAAGAAGTCACAGCGAAGAGCGAGTATCGACTCCGCTTGCTATCTTAGCTAGTCTGTTTCAGACAATTTGCTAAATATTGCTAGACTACGCTATGGTGATTAACGCATACACATAGCCAAACCCACATGCGTGGTACCACAGCACCGAGGGTTTTGCACTTTAGTGCTTTTCAGTAACTTACCATCGTTTTCACCTTGAATGGAAACCTTCAAATTGAATTGAAATCCCACCGGACAAACTGCACTGTTGTAGGGTGGCTTTGCCTCAACACACACTTCGATCTCTGTCTCATTGTCATAAACTTCGAGATCAGTTTCCCTCAGACCAAACCTAGTAACTATACAGTAGAGAACAGGAAATGTTGTTGCACATAATTATTTGTAATGTGCTCCCATACCATCATCATCAGTGATGGTGATGGTTGCAGGTGTATCTTCAAGTGAGATCCTGTAGTCAAGACCAGGAGTTCTTTCCAGTCGAACAGTGAAAGTCTTCTCCAGCAACTCTACCGTGTCATCATCAATGATTGTAACTTCTGTGCAGATGACTGGCTGACAAGGCATTGCTCTTACAGTGGTAGATATTGACTCATAATCATGACCTGATGCTGGAAATATACACCAAACAGCATTCATTCTGATGGTACAAGTGAAATAGACTCAAGGCAGATAGTGATCAAACCCTGTGCTGCTGCGGGTTACACAATATCACAAGGCAAATGCAACCAGAAACACACTATACCCCACAACATTGGGACTCTTTCGTAGTTAACAAATACTAATCGCTTAATAAAGCATCTTCTTACTTGCAGTTACATCCTGAGTAGAGAAAACAACGTCGAACTCGAAATCAACGCGGCATGTTTCAGGATCAGAACTCAACCGAGCACACACCTCAACAGATGAATTACGTTCACTGATGCTAAAATCCTCAACACGATGTGAAGCACTAAAGAGAGAAAATACAATATAAGCATGTCTGAGGTAATGTAAAGAGTGACATTACCATCATCATCAATGATTACAACTCTGGACTCTGCGGGATTCAGGATAATCCTGTCACTCAGATCTGGTACTGCTTCCAAACTAACTGTGAACACCTCAATAAGATCCTCTAGTGTGTAATCATTATGGATAAGTATGTCTACGCATGATCTCTGTTGGCAATCTTCAAAAAGCAATGACAAGGGATCTAACAGAGATCCAATATCTGGAAAATGGGGAAAACCGAGTGGTCACGTACTGCAAGACACATTTTGATAAACTTTTCTTACCAGCACTGTTATCTGTTATAGACAGTGGAACACTAAAAGAATGTTCAAAGGGGCATCTTGTACTTGTGGGTGATCGCCATGTAGCACACATTTGAAATGACCCAGCTAATTCCGAAAAGTAATATCCACTTTCTAGACCGACTACACCAGCTGAATGAGTGATGCATCATAGAAATGCCTTAAACTCACAGGTTCTGCTTACAATCATCATCCTCAATCCGTATGACAGTGTGTCCTCTTTCAATAACGGTGGCAGCTGTAGCATCTTTAATAAGAAGTGTGAGGCCAGTATACTCTGTTGGCTCCACACGCGCATCATCATAGATTATCTGGTCATAACACAATGTCTCTCCTTCTTCTATAGTCACCGACTGCATTTTGTTACAGCCACGAATTTGTTGCTCATAATCGTCAAAGTCCTCCGCTGTATACTCACATTCAATGCTGGGAAAGTTACCATCTGCAGTAGTAGACACTATCTGTACTCACACTCACTACTGCTCTCTCAATACAGTCTAGGGCATCTCTTGACTTTATGGTGAGTGAGTAAGGGAAATATCTGCACATATCTGCACAGACTACTACAAAAGTCTTTTGTTTGGAACTTGAGTACTACCAATGCATTTTGCATGGAGTGATACAGTTCCTTATAAGTGCTTTCTTATAGTAAGATAGTTAGCCGATAGGCTTACTTGCCAGTGGGCGAGGGACAGCAACAGTATCATCAGAGTACACCTCCATTCTGATGGAGTTGGTCTTGTTAGCAGGACATGTTAGGTTGACGCAAACACTAACAGAATCAGCACCTTCACTGACAGTGTACTGCCATAATACTTATGCACAACGAATGTAGCTAGCATGTAAAAGATGTTATTAGTGCTTACTTACTTTCTGAATCATCACGGATTATGACAACAACAGTGCTGGGATCAGGTTTGACCAGAGCAAAATCACTGAGGAGGGAGAGGGTAAAAACTCCACATTCTCCACTTGGACATTATAGGGATCGTTGACAAAGGAAATACGATGGGCTAGATAGCTACCATAGTAATATCGAATTTTGCCTTCCTAAAAGCATGAACTGAAACATTTTGAGAATTAACTTCGTATCGATGCATCATGCTTGCCTCACCAATACACCTGTTACAGCCATCAGGAGTCATGTAAGACAAGGAATCATCACTACCAATAAAACACTGTTTGGCAGTGGCAGTGATAGATGACGGACTACCAGAACAATCAGTGGAAGCAAAACACTGAACAAAGTTGCCTGCAGCTACGTACGATATAAAGTCTGGCGAGTTAGAGCAGATTTTTTTACCATTCAGTGGAGGAGATGGCGTGCAGTCAGCAGTGAGAACCGTCATCAATAGAAATGTCACACTTATCATTACGTTTGACGCCATCGCAGGTCGGTTTAGCTACTATCCAGTTTTAACACATTGTTTTTGGAAATCCTTCGTACACAGGAAGTATGCAGGTGCATAATATCCGCGCCGGAACGTCCGGCCCCGCGAGAGCCTCCAAGTTAACTCTAACGTCATCCGTCTCCAGTCCCGTATTTTAACCGTATATACTTACCCGCCAGTTTGTCGTATCAGAGCGTCGGTAGACGCTCTATGTAGGGATGGCACGGGTGAAGTGTCACGTGATCTGCGT